TACAAACTGAAGGATCGGCTACCTCTCCGAAGGAGAATCCTACAAACCAAAGGATCAGCTACCTCTCCAAAGGAGCATCTTGCAAACCTAAGGATTGGCTACCTCACCGAAGGAGCATCCTGCAAATCGAGTAATCGGCTACCTCACTTAAGAAGCATCCTGAGGTTTCCTACTTGTCAGCTACGGGATCGGCTACCGCATCAAACAAAGCATCCCAAAGCTACAACAACCAGATGCGGGTTCATACTCATCAACCACGGGATTAGCTACCGCATCAAAGGAGCATCCTGGAGGTTCACATTCATTTCCTGAGGGGTCAGCTACCGCATCAAAGGAGCATCCTGAAGCTTCACACATATCATCCGATGGGTTAGCCTCCACAGCAAGGAAACATCCTGAAGACAACATCAGACTGCATTCATTGTCTAGAGGATCGGCTACCCCACCAAAGGAGCATCCGAAGGACAGCCGAGCAAGAACGTTAACTCCTTCACCTGCCAACCGATCTCGTAGGCATATTAAGCCAATAGTCGGTTAGTCAGTTGAAGGAGGGGTAGTTGTAGACCCCAAATCCTGCTCGGCCTCTCAATAAAGGTTAAAGATCCTCCGTTCGAAGATGAACAAGGCATCATTGGGCTCCTAGTAATGTTCACTAGGCTCCATGTAAGGATAGGAGAGCTTTCTAGACTAAAAAAAAATAAGAAAAAGGTAAGAAAATGTTGTCAGGGGGTTTGGGACGGCCATCCCACTTCCCAGACGGCTGTCCCAAACCCATTTTTACACTTAGGATGGTTGTCTCACTTCCCAGACGGCTGTCCCAACCCATTTTTTCACTTGGGACGGCTGTTCCACTTCCCAGACGGCTGTCCCGATGTCCCAGACGACCATCCCAACCCAGACGGCCGTCCCGAGGTCCTGGTAGCGAAAAAACTATAAATAGGGGCCTCATTTGCAACTTTTACACACACCTCACTCCTCTCTTCTCTCTCTTTCGAATAATCTCTATGATTGCCTATAAGGTAACAATCGGTTAAGGAAGTTTCTTTCGGCATTCGATTCTTCTTAAAGTTTTTGTAGTGTCGGTCTTGTATTCGGGGAGGAGAGTCTTTGTAGTGCGGGGGATTGCCAAAACGCATCCTCACAGTTGAATATTTGTAATAAAAAGCTTGCTACGAAGGTTCTTTTCACAAAACTAGACTTGGTTACAAACCCAAGGAAAGTCTAGAACCTCACAAAACTATTTTTGTGAAAGAGTCAAGGAAAACAGATGTAAAACCAGTTTCAAAAGCTTTTAGAAAATCATTTAGACCTCTTCAAAGAAAACCAACATGTTTTTATTGCATGAAATTAGGCCATACATCAAATAGATGTTACATAAAATATTTTGGTATATCTAATGGCAAATATGAATGGGTGCCCAAAGAGGAAAATACAAAATTGATAGCTTGAGCATCTAATAGATTATGAATTCTTGTAAAACGTTTTTATTCTGTGCTAATCGATTATGACAAAACCATAATCGATTATGTCTAGTTAAACTTGGTCGTATGAATTATATTATTGTCATAATCGCTTATGAGCCTTCCATAATCGATTATAACAACAAACTTTTGAAAGTTTAACATTTTTTTTAATTGCGAGAATTACATAGTACATTATATCATGTTTCTTTTCAATTATCCTTAGTTTTTTTTATGTTGATGTTGCAGTTGATCATCAAGGATAAGAAATCACTCTGGTTTCTTGATAGTGGATTACTTTTGTTTGAATGTAGCCTTTGTAGAGCCTAAAATCATTGATGAAGCCTTACAAGATGAATATTGGATTCAAGCTATGCAAGAGGAACAAAATCAGTTCAAAAAGAATAACACAGGTTGAATATTGTGGCAGAACAGGGTGGTGGCATGTCATGGATGTGACAAATAAGTGATAAACAGTTAGCAGCATAGTATGACCATAATGCATTGGCATGTGCAACACTATTGGCTTTGACCGCGTGTTTGTTTCCACGTAAATAAGTTTTAACAAGCTAGATGGACAAGGAAATATTATAAAGATAAGTTTATTCTTGTCTCACATGCCTCTGCATTGAATATCTGCACTTATTTGTCACATAAATTTGATTGTTGACCAACTTTGAAATTTGTAAGTTTGAATTTTGAAAATCTAAATTTATGAAAATTTGAAATTATTAAAGTTTGAAATTTGAAAGTTTGAATTTTGAAAATTTGAAATTATTAAAGTTTAAAAATCGAAAGTTTGATATTTGAATTTTTAAGTGAAATTGGAGTTTGATGAAATCTGCCTCTTAATTTTCTATAAGAAGACTACAATGTTTGATTGCTTTTATGAATAAGAATTTGTGTGATGCTGCAGTTGATTTAAAATTTCCCTTATCATATTCTTTTTCTGATTATCAATGAAATAGGGGGAGATTTTTATAATATTAAAAATTTGTGTGTAACAGGGGGAGAGTTTTTCTCTTGTAATATTTTTTAATGATTATCAATGAAACAAGGGGAGATTTTGCTGAATTAAAATCTGTGTGTTGTGAAATCCATCCCTAATTCTGAATTAAACAGGGGGAGTTAGGGGGAGTTTTGCTCACATAAGAAAGGAGGAGTTTTTTTATTGACATATCTAGGGGAAGTTTAAGATAATGTGCTAATCTGAGATTTAAATATACTGTGCTAATCTTAAGCTGGCTATATAGAGTCAAGCATTTTAATTCATTTCAGGTGTTTCCTTGATCATCATCAAAAAGGGGGATATTGAAAGCACTGTGGGGGAGATTGATAGAAATGTGAAACATGTCCCTACATTCTGAAGAAGATGATTTTGATGAAGATTCAAGTCAACACCATTCAAGACTCAAGCAAGCCCAAGATGAAGCTTGAAGACTAGATATACATTTTGAAGAAGATGATGACTCAAGCAAGCCAAGATGAAGCATGAAGACTAGATAGAGTCTTAGAACACTGGATATAGAGGTACAAGTTGATGAAGTGGTATTATGAATAAGCCTCCAAAGCACAAGTGTGATAAAATTTCATAACATGACATTTTTCTCTGTCATAATCGATTATGATGCATCAGAAATGGAAAAATGATTTTCTCTTTATCATAATCGATTATACTAGTAACATAATCGATTATGGCAGTTCAAATTTAAAAAATATATCCATTTTTGAAGAATAAATGTTTTTGGATACATCCTGATTTTTCTCTACGAAATTATTAATGACAAACGACTATTTTTTTATGCTACTTTTCTATTTAAATAAATTTTGATGAACAATCAAAACACACAATCACATAATTTGAAAATACAATTTACAGACATTCAATTTTAAGAAATTTATTCTAAGTAAGGCAATAGAGAACTTTTAGGTTTTCTGAGAAAACTTTTTCATATTGCCTTCTATGCTTTCATTGTCAATCACACTGTATTCTTGAATTTATCATTCTACAGATTTCTACAATTTGTTTTCTTCATTACCAAGTGTGACTGTTCTTATTTTATTGCCTTCATCCTTTGTGGGTTTAGGTGGTTGTTGATATTTTATTGCCTTAATCTCCTTTTTAAGGTTTAGGTAGTTGTTATTCATCCCTTAATTTGTTCAGGGGAGGTGTTCATCCTTAGTGGGATTATAAGGAGGTTTTTCATCCCTTTGATTTGTTTAGGGAGGTGTTCATTATTAGTGGGATTCTAAGGAGGTATTTTCATTCCTTTGATTTGTTCAGGGAGGTGTTCATCCTTAGTGGGAATCTAAGGAGGTGTTTGTTCATCTTTTGATTTGTTCAGAGGAGGTGTTCATCCTTTGTGGGTTGGTTGCAAAGGAGGTGCTTTTCATCCCTTTGATTTGTTGAGGTATTCATCCTTAGTGGGATTCTAAGGAGGTGTTTTCATCCCTTTGATTTGTTCAGGGAGGTTTTCATCCTTAGTGGGATTTTACAGAGGTGTTTTCATCTTTTTATTTGTTTAAAGGAGGTGTTCATCCCTAGTGTAATTCTAGGGAGGTGTTGATCCTTTGTGGGTTGGTTATGAAGGAGGTATTTTTCACCCCTTTGATTTGTTAGGAGAGGGGTTCATCCTTAGTGGGATTCTAAGGAGATGATTGTCTCTTTAATTAGTTTACTCTTTAATAGTTCCTCTGCTGAGTTGATTGTAATTTGTAAACTGAATTTGAAAGATAGTGAATTGGGGTCACTCTTGTGTTAGAGGTGACTGGGAACTAGATGTAGGGTTGGTTATACCCGAACCAATATAAATTATTGTGTGCTCTTCTCTTCACTTTATGTCTCTTGGCCTTTGTTTTCCCTATACCTGTGCACTTGTATTTTTCCCTATACCTTGCTGATTATATCGCTTCCGCTTTATCTAAATTCAATCTGATAAATAAATTTGAATTAACAAGTTATTGGACATCTAAAATATATTTTTAATTTGGCATCTATTTTAATTTGTGCATCTATTCAACTTCCCTCTAGATGCCATTTGTCTAACAGATATAATGCTAATTGATTAGATAAGTCCAAAAGTTTTCTAAACATAAGCAAATCATCATTTGTAATGTGTTTTTACTGTACTGAGATTGGATATACATAAAAAACTTGTTATTTGAAAAATTATGGTGTTCCAAGAGGAAAATATAAGTGGTTACCTAAAAAAAACTACATATAACTAACATAGAGGACCCAAATTTGATTGGGTACCCACTACAAGAAAATTACCAATTACCTGCTGATATATTTACCTACGGATTCATATCCATAGATACATTTTAAATTACCTACGAATTTTATCTATGGATTTTTATCTGTATATAAAATTATACTTTAAAGTAGTCCATAGGTATTATCCGTAGGTAATGACAATAAAATTGGTATGTAATGAAGTCATACTTTATATGCGAATTTTATTAAAAAATATGATTGAAAAAATAATTCCACTTGCTAACTTTAAAAAAAAAAAAAGGTAAAAAAAATAATTTCACTTCTCAACCACGACCTCCACTTTCCAGCCATAACTCCCTCTGCCTCCCAGCCTTTGCCATGAACCCTAGCTGCAGTCGCTACCTCACCTTAACCCAAACCCCACTAAGCATCCCTCACCTCACCCATTTCGCCTGCGCACCATCAGCACCCTTCGACCAACCTCCCGTGAGCAACCCATTTCACCACCACTTCGACCTTGGCCATGGGTCTCTCCACCTCGCTATACACCTTTTCAGTGACCTAGCCAAACCACCGCAACCCCTGTCATCCCTAACCATTTTACCAACCTTCCGGAGCCACCGTGAGACTCCATCTTCGTGCCTACACCACAGCCCTAGCTCGCACTGACACTTCTCCCTCACCTCCTCTGCAACCTCTACATCCCAACGAAACCCACATCGCGTGTCCACCGTTATCACCCCAACCCAACCGCGGAGCCCTGGCTGTGACTCGCGCCCCACTAGCCACTACAGGTCAACCTAGAGGTTGGTGGTTAGAAGCAAGGGCCACGGGCCTAAGTTTTGTAACACCCTACCTTATAAACTCTCTATCAGAAGAATTAATAATTTTTAGCGGGAATTTTTTTTTATAAAACCAATAATAATCTTTCCCTCATATATAATATTAATATATTAAACCAATGCATTAATCCTAAAAATAAACTTTAACATGTAAATTTTCAATAACTCATTCCTGCATTTCATCATTTTAGAAAGTACTAAAAGTAAACATTCATAATTACATATAGATAAAATACTAGTACAGTCCTTCAAAATATTGAGGGCAACATTGGGGATAACTTCCTACAGAAGCAGTAAACTACACAAAAGAGTGACTACTACCCAGTACCATGTAGGTCTACGTACTACAAAAGACTGCCTAAAAAAAGTTTGGATATGTTTATCCCAATACAAGTTGCCATCTTTGTGGCTCCCAGCTAATGAGTATGAGTGTCAAATTCATCGAGTGTGGAATTTGTGTCATCTCACCTCTCTTTAAACAATGACCGATCAGGTCCAACGAGTACCGCAAGTATAGAGGAAACAAAGAAAATAGAAAGACAAGAGGGTGAACAATAGTTCATACATCATCTTAAAATCAAACATCATAAACATTCACAAGTCAATTAAATTCCAAATGATTGATGTTAATGATGCATGTTCCTAATATGTTTTCTAAAATGTTTTTGCATGCGGGCCCAAATCATTTCTCAAATCAGTGTTGAGGTAGCCAGGAGTTGACACTACTGGGCATGAAAAATCCACCCACGGGATTGTTAACACCCACGCTCAAATATAAACCCAGTAGCTCACTGACCATTGATATACGTAAGAGCACAGTTAGGTACAGGAGAGTTTGTACAGTGGGATCCACGACAACAGGTAGCGAGCCTAGGTCTTTTAGGGCTTCCAACCACTACCCTTCCTATCCCCAAGTCCTCCCTCGGGGCCACCCTATCGTATTCTCAGAGTCCATAGTCTTTGATTCCCCAATTTGCACAAATCACCATTTTTTTAGATGAATAATGTATGAGTTCATAAATGGTTTTTCTTAAAAAGTCACATATTTCCAAAAATTTTGACAAAGTTTCTCCTGTGATACGGACTTCCCAAAAATTTCCAAATACTTATTACAATTAGAAAACTTCCCAATACAGTTTTAAAAAAAAGTTCACAACCCATCATCCAGTCCTTTCAGTTTAATTACAATAAACTTTCCCATGAAAAACCACCATGCATATAAATGCTCACTCAAAGACAATTCATATCTTAATAGAGTACCAAACATGTATTTACACCATCATTAACATAAGAAATTCATTATCACTTTCAAAACCAAGCATATAGTGAAATCAACATTATCAATCAAACATGTATTTACACCATCATACACATAAGCAATTCATTTTCACTTTCAAAACCAAACATTTAATGAAATCAAAATTATCAATCATAACAAATTTAGATAACTTCAACAAATAAGGTTAAACATTATAGACCCCTAATCTTGCCCGGCCTCATAATAAAGACCAGAAGACCTCCTTTTCGAAGATGGATGAAGCCTAAGAAGCCACTAGGAGAGACTATTAGGCCCCATACTAGGATAGGAGGGATTTTTGGCTCAAAAATAAGGATTTTCGCCTTTTAAGGACGAGACCGCCATCTCGCCTTGCGTGGATGGCGAGACTGCCGTCTCGTTTGGCGAGACGGCCGTCTCGCCATTCCTGCAAGGCGAGACCGTCGTCTCGATTGGCAAGACGACCGTCTCGACCTTGTCAGACAAGACGACTCGTCTCGACCTGACAGACGCGAATCCCTATAAATAGGAGCGTCATTCCCTTCATTTCCAACAATTCTTCCTCCTTCTCTCTAGACTTTTCTTCAAATTCTCTCTCTAGACCCCCTCTGAAGCATTTTCGGAGTTTCTGAGAGTTTCCTAGAGCGTTTTCGGCATTGTAACGAGTAGAGGGCTGCCAAAAAGCACCCTAGTACTCAAAGAATTAATAGAAAAGCTTTCTTCGGAGGTTTATACTTTCTCTCTCTATCTTTTACTGCCTTATTTTAAATTACACAATAGACATTAGGGTCATGTAGTCATAATTTAAAATTCCGCAAATAAAAGGGTAAAAGCGCATTTTCACCGGTTTAATTATTTTTAAATAGCTGGCCTATCATAGGGAACCCGAAAGGGGCGTCGTAAAGGAACTAACACTTCCTTTACGCGTAACTAACTCCCTTACCCAACTGTGGTTCTAATGACCAAAGTTGGTTTTTCGAAAACCAACGCCTTTTTAACTCCTTTTCCGATGTTTCCGGTAAAAATGTCGGTGGCGACTCCAGAGAACCCTTTAAAAAACTAGTTCTTGGTTTAGCCCGGTTATCGGACAATCCAAGAACGCCCTTTCAAAAACCTCGCCCCTAGGTTCAGCCCAGTTATCGGACAACCTAAAGGCATTGTAACCACCAATAAAAACGCAAAAAATGGAAAGTCAGAACTATCGCGTCGCTCCGACCGCCCTCGTTTTGACAGCGGTGACAGATGGCGACTCCACTGGGGAAGCCTAGAGAGTTGATCCCATTTAGTGATGGGCTAGCTAAAAATAAATAAACCAAGAAAATAACGCTTTTACCCTACCTTGTATTATAACATGTTTTAATGTTTGGCTTTAATAACTGTTGTTTGTTTATATTTATGCAATTGTTTGAAATACAAATTGTACACAAACCCTTGCACACAACAGTTCCCTCTATACCCGAGGGCAAGTGAGAAATCCATAGGGAGTGGGTGGCAGGTACGGTTCGCTGTAGTGATGGCCTTGTGCCCACCAGTGTGATCGGAAACCACCACTCAAGGTGATAACCTTCCTCTTTTGGCACAAAGACTGACTATGGCCTTAGTGCTAAGCATGGTCGGAAGGCTGGAGAGTGGGGACCCTATAATGGGGGCACCTTGGGGGCCTTAGCCTTGGTGAGAACAGTTAGAACCTACCTTCGCCAATGCACTTTTCTGCAGGAAAACCCTACCTCGTGATTAAAACGACTTCTCGCCTATTCGTGGATGTTTGAATTGTGTGTGCATCTGTTTGTTGCATTTGTCTGTTGCATAGCATAACCAAACAACAAAAATCACAAAAATATCTTTTTGCAATAAACACCCTTATCTCGGACAGCCTGCCTTTAAGCTAGCCTGGTTTCAGGTTCTTTGTAAGCTAAGTAGTCACGCAGTCCGACAGAAGAGATAAGGGACATAAACTATTCTTTCACATAAAGCTACTTTTTATCTCGGACAGTCTGCCTTTTAGCTAGCCTGGTTTCAGGTTCTCTGTAAGCTAAGTAGTCACGCAGTCCGACAAAAGAGATAAAAGGCTATAAAATAAAATAGAAATAAAATCAAATAAAAAATCCCTATTCCAAAGCAATAAATGGGACCTGGGTCAAAAGTATTACCCCCATATAAGTAGTTTACTTCTTCAAAAAATGCATCATACAAAACATGATAAATAAAAATAAACACTCGCATTCATTCAATAAGCATCATTTTCATAAAACATGTATTTTGGTTTTAGAAAATGGAGGGGACTAGTAGAATATTGAAGAAGGTATACATTCCCCGATACCATGCTGAAAAATTGGAACGGCTTTGCGCGGTATTGCCACCAGAGGTCCGCTCCGACTTTGAAAAATCCTATGGACGGATTCTCGACCTGCTGAAAATCTATGTCGACCAAGTTTTCGTCAGGGTATTAGTTCATTTTTGGAACTCCAGTCTGCGCTGCTTCGAATTTCCGCAGTTTGATATGGTGTCCACCTTAGAGGAGTACGAGATCATGCTAAAATGGCCCAAATCAGCCGGGGTCCATATACGCCACGGGGTATATACTCCTGCAGCACAAGTCGCTGCCATCATTCAACTGCCATTCCAGCAGACTACCCTGATAGGAAAAGGAAATGTCCAGGGTTGGAAGGTCTCAATGTTAGAAGACCACCTGTCCGATTTGGCTGAAAGGGCAGAATGAGTCGCTTTTAACAAAACCCTGGCCTTAATCATATTCGGGACAATCTTGTTTCCCTTCCACCTCGACACAGTGGATCAAGCCATCATGGATGCCTTCTTCGCCTGGGACGTGAACTCGAAGAGTCCCGTGCCTGCAATTCTTGCCGACACCTTGCTCTCGGTGGATTTCTGCCACCAAAAGCAAGGAAAAACACTTCGTTGATGCTCTTCACTACTTTTTGTGTGGGGCATTACACATTTTTATGCCTCTAGTCACATGGGGATGTTCCCCGATCCTTTGAGAAGTTTCTCCAAAATCCCTCTCCAACGACGCTTAACTTCAGAATGGAAGGACGAGTTGGAACGCCTGGATGCCAACAGTTTATCCTAGGTCTGCCCTTGGTTCCGACCCGGCCCGGTCCTCATCAGATGCGGAGATTATCCGAACGTACCCTTAATAGGACTCAGGGGTTGCATAGACTACTCACCTAGAGTAGCTATGAGACAACTCATGAGGACCCAAACTACGATTTCTCGAGGGGAACTCGGAGGACTGTGTTTCTTTGGAGACCCATGCACAATCGCCAACTCACTAGCCGTGAGAAAAGCATGGGAGAGACCAGTCTACATGGGAGATAAAGAGCTAGGAAAAGCTCGAGTGGCTGTCTCCGGTGACTATGAGGTGTGGAGAAAAAGAAGAGGGATTTCTCCACCATCCACCTCACTCATTTCAAGCGCTAACAGTGAAGAGCTGCAAGCCCAAGTCGATGCCTTGACCCAGAGGATAGAAATCATGGGAGCCCAGATGAGGGCCCTTGAAGAGAGAGAGCAAGAATCTATCCTCACCATCGATGGTCTGCAAAGGCAATGCAAGAAAAAGGATCATGAAATAGAGCGCCTCAAGGACCAGTGTGCTGACTCTAATGAGCAAGCTATCCGAGCGTCCAAAACTTCCAGAAGAAGCTCGGATAGC